AGAGAGTGGAGCAAAAGGGGGGGGGGGGGGAAAAAGTTGCAGGAGGGCACTCTGCAAGATGCGGATGGAAAATCTCTACTGGGCTTTACTGCGTCTGATTTGGCAATCAGTAGGCAACAGAGAAACAGCTACGGCCATGCAGGAAATCCACTGACTTCCCCGGGGATTTCAGCGAAGGCACGGTGCAGCACACCGAGGTATTACGCACGCCAGGTTCACGGCCCGTCAGCAGCACGATTACACAAGAGCACACTGGACAAGCCTGGGGGCGCTGTCAAGCGGGCATCAAAATAAAATAAAAAAAACCAAACAACCCAAACATTACGCAAGGAAGGTAGTGACATGGCATTTGACTCTCCTGAACTGCAAATTAAACATGAGGAGCATTTTGGCTTACAGTGGAACAGAAGGGCTGAGCAGTAGGAGCAGGGCTGGGTAACACAACAAAATGCAGAAGGCTCAGAAGATGCGCCTCTGGAAGGAAACCTTTGTCCCTGTATCACCCCAAACCTGACATCATCCCTAGAATTCCTGTTCAATTTCAATAGGACGCTGGCCTGCCTAGAAACAAGAGGCCACACCGGGCCAGGCTCCGAACCTTTTCCATTAGCAAATTGTTGGTTACAAATCTATCCCAGGCTGGCAGGCAGCCGGGTCCGAATCCTGCAGCCCATTGTCAGCCAGTGGCTTCGGCAGGAATCTGAGCAATGGGAGCGGGTCCTAAAACCTGGCATGTAATTAAGCGGTTTGGGTTTTTTGCTCCACAGTTGCTGTTAAGGTACATACGTGACTTCGCGCTTGGTACATTTACGCTGCAGTTAGCAAATGATACGGCGCTACCTTGTAATAGTCTTCAGGTGGCAAAATTGCATATAATCATTGTCATGTTCTCCCAGCTGTTTATAAACAGATTAAAAGAACTGGGTTAATTCTGGATACTGTACTAATTAATAAACAGCAGCTAACACAGCTGCCGATGGCTTAAGAAAAACATTCAATTTAGAAACAGTCCTGTTACTATCGTAGGTTACTTTTCTTACTGAGGTTCTCTGCATCAAAACATCTCTACTCCTTATGAACACGTCTGCTCCGCTCCATCCCCCTCTGAAGCTCTCACTGTAAATATCTCCCTTCCAAAATCGAGGCACCTCTCGGTCTTAAATTTTATTCTAAACCAACTCACAGTAACAATGTGACTTGAACCACAAACTGCTCTTTCAAAGAAACACTAATATACATAAAAGCATTAAGTCTGAGGTATGTTGACCGGCACGTACAGACAGTTGTGATCTATTAACTCTGCAAACGGAACAGCAGTGTTTTATGTCTCCAACATTAAGACAGCAGTAAATTGAAAAAACCCAGCTCATCCTGTAACAGGCAAAACCTTTCAAAGACAAAGAAGCACAGAACAATAAACGTAATATTTCAGCATACTTTTAAATCCGCCAGAGAAAGGTAACAAATGCCCCAAACCACTTTTAAAATGTTTTATCTCTGAAACCTGAATTAAAACGCAGAATAGTTTTCCGCAATAAAGTTAGCTGTGTAACACCTCAAATGGAAAATAGTTCACCTGCCACAAAGTCTATATAGTCAAAACAAGACAATCAGGTGGGCCCTGGTGACTTCACCTTCAGCATCACAATTCCCCATTTTATACACACCTCTGACAATTTTATCAAGAGAAATTTCATATTTTTTAAAATTCACGACAAAACTGCATTAACATGGACACTGTGAGTATCAACGAGGTCAGTAAGATAAATATACTTAAATAAACTATTACGGTTGAAAAATTCAGTAAGAGACAGGGTTTACTTTATTAAATGCAACTTTATTGTTGCCATCTTTTCTTCATTTATTAAACAAACTGAATAGAATTCAGAACACGCTATTGAACAAAAGGTATAAAAGTCAACTAGAAGCAATAATCCTATTTTTATACAGCAACAAATCAAATGCACAGTATGGTTTTTTTGTTGGTTTTTTTTTGTGTGTGATCGCAGGTGATTGGCTTTAAAATAAGCTAACTGCCCGAAAGGCAAAATTCCTTTACAATTCCAGCCGTAAGTCTGTGAAAGAGACTCTAAGGCAGCCCAACATCTTTATGATGCCGCATAATGTGCTGGTTCTTCTCTGAAGGCCTTCGGAAACCTTTCTTGCAATACTCACAACGGTGAGGGTAGTCTTTTGTATGAATGGAAATAACATGCCGTTTGAAGCCTGAGGCGTCTGTAGTGCTATACTCACAGTACTCACACTGATAAACCTTCCTGCCACTGTGTGTTTTCATGTGTTTTTTCAGCTCGTTCTGTTGCCTAAAGCCCTTCCTACATCTCTTGCACCTGAACGGAAGATCCTTTGTGTGAACTGAGAGTATGTGGCGACTCAGAATGAACGGATCTGCAATCTTAAAGTCACAATGTCTGCACTGGTGCAATTTTTTACCCTTGTGAGCCGCCACGTGTTTTTTCAGTTCCGAAGGCCTGTGGAAGCCTTTATCGCACATATCACACTTATGGGGGTAGTCTTTTGTGTGGACTGAAATTATGTGTCGTTTCAGATCACTCGAGTTTGAGCTCTTGTGGTCACAATGCAAACACTGATGTGTTTTACTTTCTTGATGCATAAGCGTATGCTGCTGTAGCTCTTTGGTATCTGAAAAAGTCTGGAAACAAATATCGCACTTGAATGGCGTTTCCTTACTGTGTTTAGTCTTTACGTGAGTTTTCAAGTTAGAAGAGTCGGCAGATCGGTATTCGCAATATTGGCACTGGTACGGTTTTTCACCAGTGTGGATTCGCATGTGCTTCTTGAGCTCTGACGGATGGCGAAATCCTTTGCCACACTCCACGCAAATATGAGGAAAGTTCTTGCTGTGGACAGCTAAAAGGTGATGACTCAGTAATCCTTGTTCTGCTGTCTCGTAATCGCAGAATTTGCACTTGTGCATTTTATTAACTCCTTTGTCCCTGTGCACCATCTTGTGAGTAAATAAAGTTCCCGCATGAGAGAAGCTTTTCCCACACTCATCGCACTCAATAAGCTTTTCTGTTTTGTTGGTCAGCTTATGACTCTCCAAGTGGTTATGTAAACTTATTTTTTTATTCGTAGTGTAATCACAGTCTGTGCATCTGTATTTCTTCTTAGTAAGAAGGTGCTCTGGGTGGTTTTTCATGTGCCTTTTCAAGAAACCTCTAGATTTAAATTTCTTTCCGCAAATCATGCAGGGGTAGACTGTCAACGGATGACCATCAGGGCCAATGATTATTGCTGAAAAACAACAAAAAACCCTTCCTCAATATTATACAACAATATTGCACTTCAATAAATGTCGTATTTCAACCTTAACAGTAAGCTGAACTGTTACATAAGATCAGACACATACCCTATACCATATAATAAACAAGCTTGTTACTGGGTTAGGTAGCAGAAACTGAGGGGATGACCACCTTCATTCATTATTATGATTATTATCAGGAGAAAGGAAGTACTGGCTTTTTTATGCAGACATCCAAAGCATCACCCAGCTGTTCTCCACCTCAAATAATTCTACTCTGAAGAATTCTGACCGACTTCACACATTAAATACATGTAGAAACCGATACTGGTGCAAAGAACAGCAACCAACTTGTTAAACCCGAGCATTACATAGTAAGCGCATAGCACATGATCTTCTTTGACTTTCCACGAATCTGTAGATAAAAGTTTGATCTGGCAGTTTAATCACCTACCACTGACTACAATTCACATGTCCCCAAACTAACACCTCCTTCTTGTGCCATCTGTCACAGTTACAATCTGAAGAGGTATCAAGGAGGAATCAATGAGAATACATTTCACATACAGACACCTCAAAGCTTTGGAACTTGTTTCCGCTCATCCGTCAGCCTGATTTGTTTACTCTGAATTTGTCTAGGCCTGCTAAAAAGCTCTCTTTTCCAAAAATGTTTTAGAAGGAGAACTGACTAGGTAGCTGGAAATAGAAAAAGCAAACTTGGAGATTAAAATTTGCCTGTTTTACTAATTCAGCGCTAGACAAAACAGAACTCCTACAGTTAAGTCACAATTTGGAAGGAAACTTATAGTATCATTTAAGGCAAGGCTACTAAAGAAAAGAGTCGTGTGCTCTTTCATCAGACCAAATAAATCATTCAGACCATAACGCCGTAACAGCAGAAATCAAATAATACCAAAACAGTGTATCTGTTCTTACAGATGCAAGTAAGAACATTGGTATGAACATCAAGGCCATTTACTTCACAATTAAAACAGAGAAGGGTACAGAAGCTACACTACCTACTGTAACATATAACATTCAGATTTTCCAGTTACTTATTGGGCTGATACAATGAAATGTATTCTTCTATATATTTTCAATAAAGAGAAAAAGGGTTTTTAAAAAGTGCTATTACAGAACCTTTAAAAAAGTTACATTAAACATTAAAATTGCTGTGGCAGGTTAAGTATATAGGTTTTTAACCTTTTGCTATGACACTGTGTTTTTCTGTGTCAGAGAAAGGTTTCCTTTAAGACACCCCCTCCCAATCCAAACGAGCTATGTATTTAAAAACTTCAAAGTCAAATGTGCACTCATATATGATGTAGAAGTGTTGTCGACAAAATAATTCCCCAAATAATCCCTGTTTCTTGCACACCCTAGCAGCAAAGTACATCTGCTTATAGATAAGTGCCTAGAGGAGTGAGAGTACAGCCAGCCACCAGATACTCACCTGTTTGATACTGCCTAGACTCGGGTCTCCTTTTTTTCTTTGGTTTTTGCTTAGCCAGTCTCCCAAGTCCAGCTGACTCATCTATGTGCAAAAGAGCACTTGCAGTGCCATTCCGACTTTCAATGCCATCGTTATTATTACCTAACAAGATAAGTTAAAAAGTTACCTCCTGCCATCACTCTACAGAATATTCGAGCAACAAACTCTACGATGATAACAAAAGAAATTATAAACTATTACTGGACATTTAATCAAACCATAATAATGTACAGGATGAGCTGAAAAACTCCTCTGTATGTATTATGTTTGGTATTATGAACCTGGAAGCACTTGCTTTGTTAAACTCATTTTACAGGAGTACACAATTTACAGGAATTAATGCTTTTCCATGTCACAAAGAGTACTCCTTTAAATGCAGTATTTCTTGGATTTCTTTGATTGCTAATTATGCCCCAAATGTTTAACATCAGTAAACAATAGCATGTCACAGTATTTACTGTGCCCTGTTTTCTTCTCAGTCCTGAAATACATTCATGTGTGAGCTCCCATTCACTTCTGGACACCCGAATTCACCTGACTGAAGCTTCTTGCACACCGAGTTTCAGAACCGGAACTGCGATCAGCGGATCGTTCTGAACAGCCCATAAACTTGCACATAAAGTACACTACTTACTATTTGCACACCTGATGCTTTAACACTTACAAATTCTTTCTACTGGGAACAAAGAGCATGCTCAGTATTGTATAATAGAAAGAAGGAAACAAATTTTGCCTCACAGAGCTTTGTGTTTAATACACAAATGGTATCACTGGATCTAAAACAAACATGAAAATTACAAGTAAATATTTCTATATATTTAGGAAAGTATCTATTGGCAATCAGTTTAACATTGCTGATTTAAGGGCGTAAGAAAATTTTAATAACAAATTTTGTAGTTAAGTATTTACTTGCATCAATGGAAGGCAACAGTTCCTAGTGAAAGCAAAGCACACAAATAAACCAGGAAGACTGAAGCGGAAGAAAGTGCAAGATGCTCAATAGCTGTTCCCTTTGCAGAGTGCTGAGAATGAATATTTGTGATTAATGTAAGAAAACTCAAGAGCCAGGAACAGGCATGTGCAGAGCCTGAAGATTCTGATCTATATGCTAGCTCAAGTGCTGAACAGCAAATGTGGCAAGTGACAAACGCTGAAAACAAAAGCCCAGTTCACATCTTACACGTAGAAGGTTTGTAACAAGTAAGGGAAGAGTCCTTCTAGAGTATTACATAAAACAAGCCCCAAACATTTTCTAATACTAGAATAAAATTGTAAAAACTTTCTGGAATGTAAAGCACAGTGGGACTGGGGTTTAGCTACAATAAAGCAACAGAACACATTTAACATTTTAAGATGCCATTGTTATCAGTTCTTAAACCCTCTTTAAGTGGAGAAGAGTTCTGAGAAGTGCAGATGACAAACCTCTGCTATTTTCACACCTTTCTGTTTCATTATTTCTTCCCTTCCCCACCACCTCTCACCTTGCATGTTAGGTTGCTTACTGCTGACAATGCAATGACTCCACTGTTTCCCACATTCTTATAATCTCCTTTCAACTCCACCTCTCTGTCCTTAATACACTCTGCTCAATTTTCTCCTCCTCCAAAATCACTGAATGCTCAGTCTACAACTATTGTTTCGAGTTCACTTAATTTTTAATTCCCACTCAATCTGGCTTCTCTCCTTTTCTCTTCACTGAAACTGTGCTCACCAATATACAGCCAAAGATAAGGCTCTGGGTGCACTACCACCCATCTCCTAAGCAACTTTTAACACACTGCTCCCTGAGATCTTGCCCTCCCTTGACTTAACGTCTGTGTTTACAGCCCCCATCGCATTCTCGGAACATCCCGGCCATATGTTTGCTGGCACCATCACCACAATCCACATCATGCAGACATATAACCTAAGTTTTGTCCTCTACCCCACTGTTTCTTCTGTTTTGTTTACTCAAACTACATTTAGAAGAAGAATGGGGCAATACAGAAACATTCCTAAAACAAGATTTTGGTCTATCAGCCTACCTAAGTTTCGGAAATCAGTCTGCACACCAGTTCGTGCTCAGATACTAATGCTCAAAAAACATGGTTCTGCATGCTGGAAATATTCTCAAGGTTCTGCTATAATTTTAACATGGCTCCCTCCAGCTTCTTTTTCATTAATCAATTAATTATTTCCATTAGTGAAATCACATATTTTGTATGTTCCTTCTAGAAAGCATTTAAGTCAAGCTAGAGGTCAGTGTTGCTTTTCACTGTTACACTGAATCTTACATATTCCCATCTGCTTTTTTTTCCCCCCCCCAAAATAAAAATACTCAGGTCTATTCCCAAGCCAGCTCTTACTGTGTCCTAAAACTGTGAAGGACAGATGTTCTTGAGATGCAATTTTTCAGCTGAAAGCTCATGTACCTCCCCCTCTATATCATGAAAATATGAAGGAAAATGCCTGTTAAAATAGGATTAAGAAGCAGCCTGCCTTACAGCTTCTCTCTTCTTCTCTTTTTAATTTTAAGGCTCATTATGCCAAGAAACCATTCTTAAAATAAAACTTCAAAAACAAACACAAAAGTACAAATACTCCACTACCCTCCAAAAAACAACCCCCAACATTCTGCTATAGACCGTTTGACCAGGAAGAATTCTTTGAGTATTACCTACCATAAGCTGCTGCCCAAGCTATGGGCATGAAAGTTTTAATTTCAGTGTCATCAATTTGCTGTTCATGGGCCACAGCTGCATCCTCCTCTCCTACAATCACTTCCATATAAACCTCATCAGCTATTTCTGCAACATCTAAGAGAAAAAGAAGTCAAGAAAAAATTAATAGGAACACTGCACTGTTGAAAGTGAAAATCCCTGTTCCCAAATGAAAGCCACCTACTTACTTAAGTCTTCATCTTCATGCTGAGAATCATTTACAGTCATGTAAACCATTTTCTCCCTTGGAATACGAATACTGCTATTTTGATCAAGTAATCCAACTGCGTGGTCATTCTCTGGCTCGCTCTCCACAATGTCTACTGTGCCCCCTAATTAGGAAGACCAGAGCAAAGTATTTTAAACACACTTTGTTCAAATTCTATGCTAAACCAAAGAAACTGAAAGTTTGTTACTCTTTGACATTAGTCCCACATCTCTTTACAGATGACTTGAGAGAAACCACAGTCTCTAATTATGCAAAATTTCAAATGTCAGGTTGGAGTATTCTAAAATGAGTTCATTTTACCTAAATCATCTTCTCCCGGATCTGCTTTGAATATATAGACCTTGATGACTTCTGGACAAATGCCATCCACTTTACAAGAGCCACTTTCTGACTCTGCTTCCATGGTAATTTCAGCAGAACCTTCGTGTTCTATTTTACCAGCATCATCCACTACAAAAACAAGTTATTACAATTATCCAGTTGCATACAGACAGACATACATGAAAGACTTTATTACTTTATTACTCAAATTTGGAAGCAGTTTAAAATTATGTTGTGATAAAGAACCTACCCATAAATATTTTTTTTCATATCCTTGAAAACCATAATAAACACAGACAAACTCAAGCTGTGTCTTCTAGTTAAGAGGGAAGTGCAATAGTGCTGCAGTGATATGACTAGAAGCATGAGCACCACACCAGGCAATGCTAATAGGGAAACAGTGATCTGCAGCAAGATGATGGTAGGAAGAAACTGCACACTAGTACTTACTCTGTGGCATAATTTCACTTAGTCTCAGTTTTAATTGCTTTCTCCTTCACAACTAATAAGCTATTAATTGTTTTTTTCAAGAGCACTATCTGTTGCTCAACCCTGTCTCTAATGCAAGCCAGTCAGACCTGGTTCTTAGCAAAGCGGTGTTATTGATGCTTCTTCAGCTGACTAGAGAGGAAATCTAAATGAAAACTACAGGAAGAAAACCCTCCACTTTTCTCATCTGCTCAACAGCTGAAGGATCGAGCACAGTGTCAAAGCACTGCCCTGACGCTACAGCACCGGTGAACTTACTCAACTAATTGTTCACGGTGCCCTTACTGAAAGGGACTTGCACTGGATATTATGCTGTAGCCCTATATACTCTCCTTACCATTGTTTCCAATTTTGCTCTCCTCCTTCCAGAAGTGCACCAACACCATGCTTCAGTTTGAATTGCCGTAACTTGCCTAGGTCTTCCACATAAGCACAGCTAACAGCCAGCTTCATGAGGAACACACTTTTTTTAAGACATACTCTACATAGGCACGCACACCCCCCCACATTACTTTACTAAGCATGGGTTTTCAAGAAATAAATACTAAATACACAAAAATCAAATCCAGCATCTCAAGACCTTTGAGAATCTCCCAATTGCAGAAGCCTCAGAAGTTTCTCAAGAGTTGAGATTATTTAAGAATTCTTAACATGATGGCATACTTTTTAATTTGTGACTTTATTGCTGATAAAGTTACTTTTGGAGGCAGACATGGCTCCCTGAGAGCCATGCATAACTTCAACTCATGACAACAAGACATGAAATTTATACTAAAGGAAGTGTAAGAACCATCACACAAATGCTGTAGAATTTTCAACTACCATACCTAGTACATGCAAAATACTTGGTAAAGTATTCTCATTTTACTGGCACTCATTAAACCACCCTCATAACTAAAACATAGTTTTACTACTCAGTAACTGCAACTCTTTCATTTACTTTAAGATCTACTTAAAAAAAAAAGCTCAAAACATTATTACTATTTTCCTGCCATGAAGTCAATAAATTAGCCTTTAAATTAGAAAAACTAGCACATGTTGTGTCTCATGTATCAAACAGAAGAGTCTTTAAGTACACTTTCTCAACCAGGCATCACTATTCACAAAGAAATATGAATAACATTAAATTATGAAGCACTAAAATAAACTATATCTCTCACTGAAAGAGCAGCAGAAAAAAAGGTTACATACTCTTATGGCAAGTTCATGATCAATGGCCACCATACAGAATGTTTCAAGCAGTATGATGTTGAAAAAATGACTCTGTGCCACGGGACAACATAACACCTTGTAGCTGAAACCCCAAAGCATTTAAAAAATAAAAACCTTAAGATGTTCTTTTGAATCATGTTAACAACATAGCTCCACAATACATATATTCAGTTATTGAGCAGACTTTCATAAATTCTTTGGCATAGGCATGAAACACCAAACGTCACTGGAACTGTGACAAAAAGAAAACTTGCTTTCGTTCCTACACTAGATTTATGTAGTTGTTCTCCTTTAACTTGGCTGTTTCCAGTGTCACGCACGTGTACTTGGAAGGCTTTCAAATCAGCGTAGACTGATTTTACACTGCTGAAGCCAAAGGGGAAGTCTGCCACCAAGCTCAACTGATGCTGGAACATACTCAAGGAAGGAAAATAATGGCTGAAGCAATCAAAGAGAAAACAAACCTACGTGAACTATGTGAAACAGGCTGGTTTCTTTTCACCAAAACAAATTTTTTTTTTACTTCCATACATACGTGGAAGTATCCATTGATAACATTCACACAACAAAAGAATTGCAGACCTTAAAAATATGCTCCATTTACTCTTCGAAATAAATTCTCTAAGGTTCAAAGTCATCCTTTAAACATGGTTTTTAAAAAATTGTTATATCATTTAGAGTTTGTTTATCCCTGATTTCCCTCTATATTCAACAGTGTTTTCAAAATGTAACAACTGGTTTAAATATTTTTCAACAGCAGCATTTAACTGTAAGGAAATTGATGTGTAGGAATATTAGGCCAACTTTTCTCATCCAAAGGAAAAAAAATCCACTCTTGACAGGTGGTAATACTTGAAAACCTGAAGTCCCTAAAGGGCTTCAAAAGTAAATAGTATTTGCAGCATAGTAGCAAACAGGTAACAGGAAGAAAAGTAGGGTGGAAAGAAAGAGGTAGAAGAAAGGATAAAAATCAGAAAAACAAACAAGGTGGAAGAGAATGGCTATCTGTCACACAAAGCACCATTTTCATGGTATTTTGTCCTATGGCTACATAAGCATTTATCTGTACTGAGTCACTGACGCTCTGGCAGCATTTATGAAATTTGATTTCTGTTTAACACTTTCCCTGTGTTTCTGCATTCTCCATGTATCTCAGTCTCACAATCAAGAGAAAATGATATTCATAAATACTTGACTGATCAATGTTTGAAGTTGGAACTCTGATGATGTTTGAATTTTTCATCCAAATTCACAGCCCATCAAGCGATCCCACAAATACCATGCATGACTGACCTCTCACACTGCTGCTCTTTGAAATTACAAAAAAACCCCAACCAAAAGTACTTAAAAGTATTAGTTAAGCTTATAAGAGACCACTTCCTTTCAAGTAGAGATGCTAGGCAGTTACTAATCACAAGTCACATGCTAGATAAAGGTTCAGTCTAGCATTGTGTCTCCATTTAATTAGATATTAACTGAACACTAAAAAATTTAAATGTATGATTTTTTTTTTCCCTCTCTACTAGCTGGGAGCCTTATTTAAGTAAACAAGCAGATTCAGACTAATTCTCCAAGTTAAAAAAAAAAAAAGAGAACAATTATTAGAGACAAATTATTTTATGTCAAGTAAACCTCAAGAATGCATTCTATGGTTAGTTTGCTGATGTTCTTCACAGACTTCACTGACTAGAGGAGCCTGCTCTTTACATATTATGAGCTGCAAGAAATAACTAAAAAATGTATGCACTTCTCCAATGTTGCAGTAATTGCTTCCATATAAAGATAATGCTTGAATTTTTATTAAAAGCAGAGAGGTGAGAAAGGTGTCACACAACATGGAAGATGTGCAATATTTAAAGCCTGTCTAGTTATGATTTACATTACAAGGAAATCAGCAAAAAGTGACCAACATTTAAAAAAAGGAATGAAGAAAAAAACGAAGAAATAAAAGATGCAGCAACATTAATAACAGATTGTTTGCTTAATATGTGTTCTATCATGACAACAGCATTTGTCTCCTGGAAAATATTACATCTAATTAAAAAAATCACATAATGCCATAACTATAATGTCCAACCAATAATTGTCTCCTATATCTTTGCCCTCCTATTAAAATATGCCTAATGACATTTTGGGGACAGAAACAGGCATTGATAATAAAAACAATATTTAAAACCCAGCTGAGGCCAGTTTCCCCACATAGGAGCATAAATGCTAGCCCAAGATCCTACATACTGCATTGGCTTAAATGGTACATCTTTTCTTTAACCATGACACGTACACTTTGCCCAGTAAGTTGGTTTTAGCTGTTTATATCCAATATTTAATGGATCAGCAGATACAGGCTTGCAGTCTTTTAACTAGAAAAATGCAAATATCAGTAACTGCCTTTATTTTTTAATGGTTTCCATAGGCTTCTACATTTATTCTTTGCTACCATTTCTCCTCTATGTGGGATTGATGAGGAAAATAAAAGGACTGTAAAAGGTAAAATTCACTTAAGCACTAAGACACCTTCCATCTTTTTCAAGTACATACTGCTCATTGCTAAGTAACACACCGAAACAATGCTTACAAACACTCTTAAGAAAAAGCCTGTCTCTACACCAGTTTAACAGATCTTGGAATCTGTCTATGGAGCAATTAGATGAGAATCATCTATTTTGTCAGCCTTCATGTTCTCAAATGATTCTCTGCGCTACTACAAAAATGCGTATCATGGGATACTTGCCTGCTTACAAAACAAATAACCCTATTTAACTATTCTTAATGAAAAAGGCCGCTGTTACCTATTCTGTTTTCTCTAAAATAGATTAAAAGCACACTGTATTCCCCAGACAGACTTTGCTCAGTTTTCTGTCATAGAAACATTTTACTTGTACTTCGCTTGATAGCAGAGAATTCCTAGTCCACTGAAGAAGTTGTTTTTACCATCCGGTTATTTTTTAAATGGCAAAGCAGGTTTCCTAACCTGTGAGAAAATAGAAATCTGTTCCATTTTAATGCCATTGCCATTACACATGAGCAACAGTATACCCTATGCATCTCAAGCTCCCCTCAGGGCAGCAAACGAGCAGAGGAGAACTTCCTAAGCTCCAAACTGGTATCTACACTTGTCCTTCTCATCCTGCTCTCCCCAGCACACAAATCAGACTAAGCTCTGAGGCATCACTTAGCCCACAGGAACTCATCTCCCTCCCCTCTCACAGTGACCTCCTGAGCAGTCTCGGCTGCAACAACTGTTGGTGCCATTCCAGTGTCAGGCAGAAGCATGGCAACAAGCTCTACCTCACAAAAAGAAAAACATAATTTCCTGCATCTTTAAGAACCTCCAGGGAAAAAAGAGGAACGTACTTATTCATGCTGAAAAAGCAAGTAAAAGCATTTTGTTTTCTTGACTAGAAGTCTACTGGATGGCCCTAATGAAGGCACGAACTGTATGGCTGTGTTGATTAGATCCATTTCTTTCAATTTAACATCTAACAAGGATGAGAAAAGATAGGTTTCACCTAGACCTATGAAAGATTCAAGCATTATTGTCTCTCTGAGTACCCTGGGTTCTGACTCCTGTAATGAAAAGTGTTAGTTCACATACAACAAACAGAAGACATGTCTAACTCAGAGCAAAGTAAAGGATATGGATGGAGGTAACATAGCCCCTGTATTTGCAAACATCATGTAACTTCCTAAAACTGCAGCTTAAATTTTGTGAGGCTATCCTTCCCTCTCTCCAGACTCCCTCTGTCAAACCTTCTTTGTGCCTCACCATTTTTCCTGCAATTAAATATGAGTATATCAGAGTACAACTTTGTCTTATGGAATGAGTTCATGCCAGAGGATGTATCTTACTTTGCCAAATCGAACAAAATCAGACAAGCAAAAATCTTAATTTACACCTTATGGCCAGGTGTGAGGCCATACGGTAGGGGGGGATTTGTTGTTTTGACAAACACTAGCTAATCCTATCACTACTGTTTCACTTACAGAGAAACGATGTTCCAAGCCTTAAAATTTGCTACCAACTAATTAGTACCAGTGTGAGCCAGAACACAGTTTATCCTTTCCTGACCAAACTCATCAACTGGCTTGTTACGGCATATTTGAAAGAAAAACTGATTTATCAAACTGCCTTGAATCCTTTTCAAGCTACTAACTAGTAGCAGTGTGCATTCTTTGAATGAGTATCTGATTCTGCTCTGCTTAAGTGCCCCAAATCTACCACGGACCAAAAATGAAGCTTGAGGGCAAAGACAAAGTATCCAAGAAAAAAGGTGAGTACATCAAAAGGTAAGTGATAATACAAGGTGTGCCAAGAAACATTATCTTGGAAATTAAAAAAAAAACCCAAAGGCATTATCAATGCAAAAGCTAAATTAAATCTAAATAGGAACAGAAATATTCAAATACTGAGTTTACTGAAGCAAAGTCAAAGAATGAAACCCACAGGGACTGCACTCCTTGAAAAGACAAACCAGGTGGAAACCAAGAAAGAAGGTAGAAAAAAAAACATTTTAAAAAGTACACATAGGTTAGTCATTTCAAAACAGGTATTTTCAGGACAAAACCAAGAAAATTATCTTATTTTAAGAAAATCTATGTAGACTCAGTTCATCAGGAACAAAAATGGAAACACTTAAAGAGAGCCACCAGATAGGAAGAAGATAGCAAAAAGATTTTGTCAGTAACTTCCACTGAAGAATAGAGACTGGCAAACCTACAACAGAAAGAATGCTAAGTGTCATCCCCTGCTTTGCAAGTGACTTAGATAAAAGAGGACAAGCAAAAGCATCCTGGAGAACACAGTCTACCTCCCAAATCTGGGAAGTGACTACATTTGGCTACTGTAATGGCAGACAAAATCACATTCCAACACCTGTCCCAGCAGTTCAGGGAGGTGTGCCAGAATCGAGCACAAATTTACAGGTTGGGATGAAAAAACAAAAACTAGGCTCATCTTACTACCTTTTAAAAACCCATCTAATACTAAGTTCAACTAAAGAACTGAGACAGTCAACAGATCAATAAATACATATACTGCCAATGCAACAAAAAAGGGAGGGGGGTTAATAGAAACAATGTTTTCCATACAACAAAGAGACTATTTGGCAAGATAGCGTTTACTTGACGGAAAAGCACTAGACTCTGACTTCACAACCAGAAGAACTTGTTATGCAAGCTTTAAACACAGTAGGTGGCAATAGGGAACTTCCCTTTAAAACGAACTTAACTTTTGAAACACAAATAGAAAGGATGCATGTTTTGTAGCGTAACGGTTGTTTTAAATGCTGGCTTATTTAAGGTTCTGAATCTAAACAAAGTACATGGCAAGACTATCAAGAGACGTTTAATATTAGAGTATGAAACTGCAGAAACACGTAACTGGAAATGGAGAATATCCCAGCACAACTGAACAATTAAATTCCTGTGTTTTCTGCCAGTTACCACCTGTTGATGAGCAGTACATCTCAGAAGATTTCCTAGCTGGGTGAGTATTTTAGGGATCATGCAATACGGCACCTACCAAGACATTCTGTCCTCATTCAGCCACTGGCAATGGTTGAATGGGATACATTATCTACCCACCCCTCTCGCTTGAATTTACATAGACACAGTTTGCAAAGTGTTCCTACTACAGCAGCCTCAGAGGCCTCACTGCTGCCCATGCTGCAGGATGGCACCCTGCGGGGAAGGGCAAACAAGAGACAGGAGCAGCAGCATCTTAAAAGAGCTACAGTCAGCAGTAAGAAGCAGGTAAGGATCACCACCAGAGTCAGGCCTCAATTACCCATAGGTGGATTATCCACTTCGTTGCCTAACTATGCTGCGGGTGCGGAAGCATTTAAGCTGCTTTCATCTGACCTAACTCGGGTCCAGAGTCAGAAAGTTGTATCTGTACCATAATGTACAGAGTGCATTTGTCAGTTTGGATAAATACTATTTCAGAGAGCAGCATCCTTGATGTATTTCACCTTAGTGTGATCTTGCAGCTTAATTTTACAATACTTTGTGTTATCCATATTTTGCATTATCCCATTTCATTTTTTTCCCAGATAATAGAGAATTAACTGTACCTCATATAAACTCAAAACATGGCTGCACAAGGTTATTCAAGGAACTCAAGAGATGATAAATTAAGAAATGCAGTGATCCTAGGTAAGGAGAAGCAACATTAAAATCCGTAAGTACAGAATATAAAAAAACAAGTTATTATACATTTCAAAAAAGTGTCCAAAGGAAAAAAAAAAGGTGAAAAAAAAAAAAAAAGGTAAAAAAAAAAGAAAAACGGGTAACTGAAGCAGAGCATGAAGTATGCCTCATCAATGGAGTCATTTAATGCTAGATGAAACTGAAGTGCCCAAAATGGCAATTAAACAAACCAGCCTAACAAAGCTTTTCTATTTCTACGACAAACAAATGTTCAGCAGTGACACTCTGATGTTCCTAGGTGCTGCACTGAGTAAGCATTATAATACAGTAGCATACTTAGAGTAAGCTCTAGTTCGCACAAATGGATATCCTCAGTAGAAAAAAGGACTGATGATATGCTCTGTTTTTCTCCATCCCTCTACTTTTAAGTCTTTTCAAATAGATTCAAATGGATTGTGCCACTGTTCCTAAGGGAGATTAAGATATTCACGGTTGCTTCCCAGCTACGAGCAGCAATAGCTACTCTTTTTGTTAGCAGTATACCTCTGTCTTTTGCTTAATCAAGAGAAGAAAAAACATTCTAACAGCAAAGAAAACCATATTGTTGCCATATCTAACTATAAGTGGGATGGAAGGGGTGGGGGCTTAGCAAAAAACAAGACAAGGATAACAAATCATCACTTGGACTTCGAAAAAACAGGTCTTCTTACATTCCCTTTTCCATGAAATAATTTGTTTTCTTAATGTCTTGGCAGTAATCTTAGTAACCTGCATATACATGTGTTTTCAAATGATGTCACATTTATTTTCTTTTTGTTCTTACTAAGTATACAGCGTTTAGTTTACTGGAATTCTTACTGTTTTGTTCAAATGCTATAAAATGCTACAGAAGTAATTTACGTCTGGTTAGACATGCATTTGCCAGTGGTTCTCTCCATCAGCTTCACCAGAATTTTTAGCTGGTACATGTTCCTAAAAACACCCCCATTTGAACATGTTTGTGAGATCTACATTTCATTAAACAATACAGAAAATCTGGCTTTGGTACTGCCATAAGCCCTTCCTCGGATATATCAAGCACCACCCAGGCCCATATCATAAGAATTTCGATGGCTTTACCCAGACACTTACAGGAAATCATAAGGTAATCTTCACAGTTGCCCTTCTCGTCTTGATGTTCCACAGGGATTCCATTGGCATCGATCACTGCCTCTGATGCACAGTCTGCCACCAAGACTTCTTCAGAAACAACATCTGTTCCCAGAGTATCAGTGACAATATCTGCTTCTTCAACATTATCATGAACTACATGTTCTACATGTCCAACTTCAGGTACATGCATTGACTCACTTGTCAGTACATGTTCTGGTATAGACATTGCTTCTGCTGTTATGTCAGAAGCTAAAACATCATCTGGGACAGTGCAATGAGCCAAAGAAACCTCTTCAGCTACGTCTGTGTCCAGCACTTGTTCAGGAATAATGACAGTTTCAGATACGTCTGGCTCCTCCATAATATCTGGGCACTGAACATCCTCGATAACAACATCCTCAATGACATCTTGGATTACTACAGAATCTGGATCATCAGGAACAAAATTATGCACGGTTATGTCTGAGTCGACTACATCTGAAACAAATACTGTTTCCTGTACTTCCACAACAATCTGATCTCCATCCATATGTCCGGCATCAGCTCCTGAAAAACATAATTAAAATAGCAGTTAAATTGTAAAACTAATTCAGATTAAGTGGTTAACAAATGAAATTACTTCTATTTTACTTCAACTTCTACACTGTGCTGCAATTTAATAAAACAGGCATCATAGCCTATAAGCAATTAAGATAGGCAGATATACAGGGAGCTGATAAAGCAATTCCTCAGTAGGTGCTAAAATAACTGAGATGAACAACAATTTCTCTCCTGGAAAAGGTTACCAATTTTTAGACTCTCCCCCAATATCCAAACAACTTTTACTTGACAGAACAGTAGCTCATTCATATTGCTCTGAGTAATAAAAGCAACCGAAAATCAAAAGCAACTACTCTCTACAAAAACATTGATGCAGCATAGCACTCTTAAACAAACACAAAATAAATGACAAATAGCCAATAGCATCTAATGTGAACACTCGTATCTACATATTATCTCCTGACAGACCTGTTGGATCAAAAAATGCATTTGGCTCATGTGGCTGCAATTCAAGCCCATCTTCATCCATGGCCTTTAACTCTCATCAGTCACAGCGTCTGTAGAAGGTAAAGAAGATAGGTTATTTTAATTCGTATTATGTTATGAAGGTTGCCTCTGCCTGTGCACTGAAAAGCAGAAACTTGGGGTGCGTGGAAGTTAACAGGTAACACCTCTTGACTTTAAGATGGACCAACCAGATTTCACTCAGGGTACCTCTGTTTGGAATGCCAGAAACACTACTCTAGAACACCAAAAACCCAGGGTCTGAATAAAAGGAGTGTAAGCTCCAACAGTCCAGGTCCATTCCTCAAAACCCCACAGCTCCACACAGAAGCAGCTGATAAAGGGATATGAAAATATTATTTCCATATAATCTTACAAAGATTAAAAAATTAAGACAAAGCCTATGCAAGTTCACACTCAAGTCTTCTTTGGATGGTGGGGAATACAGCGCCGTCAAATCAAAAAAGCTCAATAAGGTAAATTAAAGGTAGACAGCTATTAATCTGAAATGCACACTGCTTTTGATGTCCCTGTATTCGTACTTGGGCAGTCAGGAGGAATTTACTCTTATGTCACTTCAGGAATTCAAATCATCAATGTAAACTGCTTCCAGAACATAAGACCGTATGTTCTCAAAACCCAGATGTGTGAATATTTTAAAAACTCCTGCCCCAAGACAAAGTACGTATTTGCTTTTGTATTAAAAAACATCACCAGTTCTCAAAAATTACCAAATGTCACATTCTACCAAATTTCTTTGAGTGGAATATCAACACATAATAATAACTTAAGATTTCAATCTTCTTAACAAAAGAACAAAACAAGACCATAAAGTTAAAATACTTAGTAAATTTGAAACTGCAATCTCAATTTTGCTGCTTACATATGTGCATTACAATTAGGAACAGGCAAACCTAGCTGGGTAAAATGTGATCTAACATAAACCTGTACTACTCCCTTGCACTTAGTCCAACCAGCTTCCTAAGCACAGAACCAGCGCAAGGCAGCAGAACGTTGCTACATGTTTCTGCTCATGTTTCTGTACAAGTGGAAGATGCAATTCTCCTTCCTCCAAACATTTTTCATAGCGACAGGCAGAAACCTCTCCATTCCTGCGACACTTTCACAAAAGACCCAGAGAAAACATTAAGACTGTGCCCCAAGTTTCCATAAGAATCGTAACTCTTCTGAATTATGTCACATAACATTTACCTTTATTGTCTTCACAGGGAAAACTGCCACGCAAAAGAAAAAATTAACAACTACTCCAAAACATGAACATACAACCATAATCTGTAGCAAGTATTTCCTAGACTTCACCATTTTTCTAGCTCCACTTTTCTCAACTCTTTGCAGCTAACCACCTAATTTATGTATGAGAAAATGTATTTTTACAAGTTGAGGGAGAATATAGCCAGAAACTGAACTGGAGGAAAAGCAGTAGCAGTCTAATAATTTTCCACGGGGCCCCACATTTGTGTGATGTTCAGTTGGAAGGCCCCTACATTTTAAAGACAGCTGTGCTAACAAATCATTGTGGTTTCCAGCTGGACATAAATCACCTCACAATTATTCTGTCAAGCATTTCTGTCAGAAGCACCCACTATTAACAGGAACAGCTCATCACATAGATGCTTTTTTCAGAATCAAGTGCAGAAGAAAAGCGTTTCTCAGCTCCAGACACAAGACATAGCTTGACTAATGGCAATCAACTTCTGCCATGCCACAGAAACAAGAACAGAGTAACGAGGTTTCATACAGTCATTTCAGCAAAAATTATTCATACCCAAATTGGTTTACTTCCATCTATTCAGTATACACTTAGGCAGTCTATTACAAATGTCTTTCCTACTCATCATCTTTTCTGTGTTGTCTTCAGCGTTTAATTTCGTCTTTTCTGTTGCATATTCCCCAACTCCTAGTGTGCCTGTACCTGTATTATGTTCATTACCTCTCCAACCGCTCATTTCATCAGGGTTGGCAGGAATAAACTGCCTCTCTCCTCAGGCAACACACAGAGAAGCAGCTAGCACTTGCTGTCCAGCTCTCTTGGAAAAGTCAAGACGCTGTTTCTGCCTGTGCTTTTGAGGACTGCATTATCATACATATTTAGCCTCTGATCAGCTGGGACCCAACCAGCTTGAAGTGCCAGTTCACCACTAGCTACTGGAAGAACTGGCATTCGTTTTCCCCGCTTCCTGCTTTCATCACCCACCTGACCACCACTCCACCACAAATTCCTACTTCTTATGATTCATGCATGTACTTTCTCTATCCTATCCTCTCCCCAAATTCCTCACTGTCTCTACGAGCGAGCCTCTCCTTCATCATCCTTCTGTCCTCTTCAACCATGACACCCAGAGGCTGCCACCACTACTTCCCAGCTTCCAGAACAAGCCTGTTGACGCTCTCTCTTCACTGCTGCTCTCACGGCTGCCCAGATTCCAGGCAACAGATGCTAAAACCAATGAGTCTCTGCGGTGGTCATGATGATGCAGTTTCATGAAGACATTGCTACCAGCAGTGACAGCCCAGCAGACCTTCAATTGCATACTGTGCAAAACAGTGTAGCCTCTTCTGTATTGGTGAGGTCTTTTCACCTACGTATTATGCTCAGGTTCTACGCTGACTGAAGAAGTTCCCAGGCACATGGGTTTTCAAGACCGAGTCTTAAAAAGGCCACAGATTTATGGTCCCATACTTGTTCCAAAGAAGAAAAAACGCTACCCTTTCACTGAATGACTTTCTTCCTAAGCAAGGTTTCCCATAATGCATTTTTGCACCCAGACCCAGCCAACAAATTCACAGAAATTCTTATCCCTGAGCAGGGCCATAAAGACTTTAAAAGTGCTCCATTAGGGAACAGACCCCATCTCCATGGAAATTTTCTGCAGAAAGAGTACCGGAAGAGGATGCAGCACCTAAAACAGGATTTATCTAAACTATCCAAAATGATAAAGGTGTCTAAATCAAAATCTGCCATCCAAAAAGGTGTCAAGGCATTTGTTCATGGATGGGGAAAAAAAAATCCTGCAAAATTCCCTGAAATAGTTTCAGGGTTTGAGCATTCTAACCAGAAGATGAGAAAATACCGCGTTTCTTGCCGCTTGCTCTTCTGAGCAGTGGGCCAGCACAGGAGCCCAAGATTCAGCCACACAAAGGAAGGTATGCCACATGGTTCTGTACCAACCAACAGCTCTGTGATGAAGGCACTGTTCTGCGACACAAGAAATACCAGAGCTTCTTCTTGCGAGCACCACACCAAATACCTTCAAATTCCTTGGCAAGCACCCTAAGCTCTGTGGTACCACAAGGCTAAGCAGCAATTCCAGCAGTTCATTTTTCTGCAGGATTTCAAGAAGGGCAGAAAGTTCTCTCAGTTCTTTCAAAATATTCCAGCTGATGCTTAGCTCAGGAGCAGGTTTTGGCACAGAAGCAGACAGAATCAATTTTCAGTTCCGGTTTAGGAACCTGAACTCTCAAAGAGAGTCAGGTGCCCAGCCATGTCCCTACACTTACTCCTTCCCAACACCCAGCTCTATGTGGTTCTTTGTTCAAATCTCAGTAATTCAGGAACTGCTCTTCTACCACTACAACAGAAAAAGCCTAGGCACATAAACCCAGGTTTTATAACTCTGAAAAGAACTAAATATCTACATCTTTTACTTGGCTTGGGTCTACGTCAGCTTCACGTGGATCAAGACTTAATACAACTCTGAAATGCACCTAATTGATTTTTACCTATTTATTCCGAGACTTGTCTGGCTTTGGTTTTTGAAAGTCAAGGCAATATTTTCAAGTGGAAGGACAGATAGAAAATCATATACTAATGGCTGAAACGCTGTTAAGCTATTAGCAATAAAAAAACCCTCCCAAAATAAAAATGGGTATTTTCTGTAAATCTGATCTTGAGCAGAGCACGATCAGTCAAGAGAAGCAATACAGACAGTGGACTAGTCTTGCCACATTACAAATCCTTGACTCAATAGGCCTAGCAAGGTAATCAAGATGAAATAAAAAGAAATAGACAAGCTATCACCTTTTAAAGAGAGAACAACTTTAAAAATAGAGTTTCTTAGAAGAGCGAGCTTTAATATGTCACAGAAACTGTCAGTTCCTCTGCTCTCATCAAAAAAAGGGAAAATGGGAAAAAAGGAAAAAAAAGAGAAAAAGAAAAAAAGGGGAAACCTTAGAAAAGCTATTCTTATGAAAAAGAAACATGCAAGGTAGCCCTTTGCCTATTCCGAAATAAAGAACAGTACCTCTGTTTATTTGGGGTCAGGGGCATAACCCAAATACCCATGCAGCAAAACTCTGACCCTTCCCAGAAAAATCAAGGCATAAACAGCAAAATTCCCCACATCCAAGCCCCGGCTCCTACCTACGCTGAGATGACTTAAGTGTACAACCATAATCGAGTTCCCATCGTGCCTTGCTACATCACATTAAAAATTGCAGCACGCCTTGCATGTCCCAATTGGGTTAGAGCCCCGAGCTACCCGAAGCTTCGCTGTGGTTATGAGACGACTGTGGGTTCAGTCTACACCATTGCTGCAGCGTCACAACTCTCCCTACGTGACCCACTTATGGAGAATGTGATGTACACACAAGCCCTCAATCACACACTCATGAAAGGTAAAAAAATTAATACTCCTAAAGCATCTAATTCTTATCTTGGAAATAAGCCCCACGATTACTAGGTGAATAAATGGAAGAATAAAAACAATGTTACAAATGTGATAATGTAATCAGCTGTTTATTTCTTGATATACCTCCCTCAGTTTTGGCAGAATCAGTACTGCTGTTTTCATTGCGATTTCATAAAAAAAACCTCAAGTCTTTTCCTCTTTGTTGTAGTTCAGTGGTGTGAGTATTTACAGAACCTGGTTAAAAAAATGGGTTTTCTCCAGATTCCAGAGGGATGTTGTGCGTCAGACAACAACTAATCTAATTCTTAATGAAACCTAAATTAGGGAAATAACTGGTCCCGGGTGCCGCTCTGAAACTACTTTCCACTCAGCTGGGGGCCTCTTCAAGAGAGAGGATCGCCAGAGGGGAGAAGAAGCCAGCACGAAG